ATATGGAAGATATCTAATAAATATTGATTCAACTGAACTGATGGGCCTGCCAGGAGAGAAAACTTTTTATTTTTTTCCTGAAGAGTGTGAGCTTCCCAGTATCCTTGAATAAGCCCTAAAAGAGAAAATCATCAAGACCTGCTCATCGAAAAATCAACCAGCTTTGGTTCCAAAACCTAAAATCAAAGAGAGTGCCACAATTTTCCATTGCCCTGAAGGTATTCCAGCCCTCAGTAATTTGAACAATGGTACCACTTCAAGTCTGCAATACTGCAATTTTTGTAGCACTGATATGTGTAATTTGAGCCACAGTTTAACACGGGATAACAAATAAAAGCAATATTTTATTTATCTATAGTTGTTTATCCGACACAACAAATAGACTACAAGCTTTTTTATGAAATTGCATTTAACGTGTATACTTTACCTAAATTAAATAAGCATTCCTCCTCTGCAATATCATCTTCACAGGGCCAAACTCTCCATTAGAAGTTTCAGGCACTCTGCCCAGGGCTTATGGTGCTTTGAGGGCTTCCCAAAAATGATTTAATTTCTTTTAAAAATCAGAAAATAAAATAAGCTTTTAGGTTAAAGAAGACATTTAAATAAAGAAGAAAATATATTCATCTTTATACTAATGTAGTCATAAAATATAATTTTAACTTGGCAAGGCAGGGAGGGGGATTCATAAAGGAAAACATCATAAAAGTCATAACTGGACCTTGTAACCACATATGCCAAGATGTGCCAAATTTGGCATCCTAAAGTAAATAATCTTGAAAATCCTGTTTTCAGGAAAAAAAAAAAAAAAAAAAAAAAAAAAAAAAAAAAAAAAAAAAAAAAAAAAAAAAAAAAAAAAAAAAACAGTCCATTTGTTGTAGATTGATGTATTGTTGTTACATACACAGAGACAAATTGGGAGTTGGGATAGGCTGGTGGGGGAGGCACAAGATGGGTGAATTGAGTTGGAAGCAACCAGGATCCTCCATGTTTTATGCCTATGACCCTCACTTCCCCGCTCACTAGCAGACTGCTCTAGCTAATTAGCAAATCAAAAGAAATAGAAACAATTCTGGACCTCAGCACAATCAAATTAGTGGAGTTATTTGAGGATATCATTTTCACACAGTGCAATCACGCTCTCTTTGTTTTGGTCAAACGAGTGAAAATTATCTTTCAAACCCAAAATCCTTCCCTCTACCCAACTGGCTCTGTGGATAGTGGGATTTGCTATTGGCTCTCATCAGTTTTACAGATGATCTTTTTCTACTAAGACAGGAATGTACAATGTGCAATTAAACAATACCCAGCAAGCTTCCCTTTTAAAAATACATTTGACTTTTAAGATGATTCAGCATTAAGAGCCATTAGTGCATCATCTAAATCAGGACTTGGAAAGTTTGTTAAAATTGGATTTTTAACCTGATCCCAATTTCCTTTGCTGACAAAGAATCCCGTTGGAGTCTTTAATATTCATGCTATTAACCTGAAAGATTCAAACAGCCATTATGGGAAGAGAAGCTATATAGTGCAGCCCAATTGACTGGGGTTACAAATAAAACCCCACTGAGTCTGGGCAGGTAGACTACCGTGGATTCTGAATATCTTCAGAAGAAGGAAGTTCTCTCTTTTTTTCTCTCTCCCCTTTTCCTGACCTCCCTCTCATATCATATCTTTTGGGGAAAAGAGAAAAATCCCCCAAATAGCAAACACAAACAAATTATTCAATTATATAGAGCCCCAGACTAGGAGTCTAGTTTTTACTGGAAGGGTAGCTTTCTCCTTTAATGCCCTGATAAACTACCTCAAGCAGAAAATAGGGAGGTCTAGGCTAATGATCTCTAAGATTGATTGAGAAGACACACTGTGGAGACCTATGTGAATATCAGCCCTACCACTTATTAGTATGTTACCTTGAACAAGTCACTAAACTCTCCTAAACCTCCCTTTCCCCATTTGCAACGTGAACAAAAGGTGCAGCTAATATGACTCATTTTGCATAGTACCTGGCATTATACACCTTAGATACATTTTAGCTGGCATTATTACTGATGATTGTCCAAACTCATAGGTCAGTTGCTTTTGTTTCTATTTCACCCCTTTTCACTCCTTGAGTCTTTATCTTTGTCAGAACAGTTTACATCTGTGTTAACTGATGTCTGTGAGTTTCTGTAAAGGTAGCCTATGGGTGTTAGCCTTGTTTTCTCTTGAGCTGAGATTTTATGCTCCCTCTAGGCAATGGAGATGTCTTAATTTTTCACCTTTTCCTTAGTAACTGGCATAGTGTTAAATACATACTACATGCTCAATAAAGACTTTGAGATCTTAGAATATTAACAGTACAGAGATCTTCCACTAAAACCCTCTGATTTTTCAGTTATTGGCACTGAGAAAAAGAGTCTTGGGCCACACATCTATGACCAACAGCCACTTCTCCAGTCAACTACTACTTTGTCTCCTACGAGCCTCTATCGTCATGCCCACTGCTTTGAAAGGGAAACATGATTGACTTAAACCCAGACTCCTTGAGGGAAGTCCCATTTACATTTTTTATTTTCATTTTTATTTTTATTTTTGGAGAGCATAGCGTGTTTCAGATACCATGCAGGATTCTGGGATTCAGAGACCATGCAGTATTCACCATTAAATCATGATACCCAAGTTCAAGATATTTACAATCTACCAGGGAAGACAGATCCCTAAATAGATGTTTCAATACAGTGCTTGTGTTGTTACAAGAGAGCTAAGCCCTGGTACTGTACGAGCTTCAGGATAGGAAATCTAACTCATGACAGGAAGACTTCAGGAAGAGCTATTTAGGAGAAATGACAAGTGCCTGACACACATATAAAGCTAAGTAAGAACAAAATTCAAAAACAAACTCATCAGCTGATACTTTTATTTATCTGAATGTAAGAACATTGATTATTCATCAATGAAGGATTGCTCAGATTTAGAAAGAAATGAGGAAAACTAGAATGCTGGTCCTCAAATTCCTATAGCTTGCCACATGTGCCTGCAGTCATTTCCTGCAAATGGAAGCTTCTAACAAAGGCTCAGGGCTGGAGACCTGGGGTTCCAGTTTCTTTCAAGGTCTTGTGGTAGGGAACTAAGTAGGTCAGTAACCTGCCTTTCGCTTACAGGGTGCAAACAGAATCATTGCTAAACCCCTTTGTGTCTCACAATGGGTAATGAAATTCATACTATGGCACCAAAGCACTTTGAACTCTTTAGAAAAAGTAATCATACCAACTTAGAGCATCAAAACCACTCCGTATTTTGAAGAACTCATGATCTGCACTGTGCTTGGCTGCTGGTGGAAGCTTAAAGACACCAGTAATTGGCAGAGGTTTATCTTAGACTCCCATTTGACCCACACAACCTCATACATGATTTTACACAGCTTCATAGAATGGGGGAGAAAAGCACTTCTTTTAAATCGAATGTTAGCTTAAATGCTAAGGCTTTCAAAGTGAGGCTTTAAAGTCACTTTTTAGAATTTTTATTTTATTTTTTAACTAAAATAGACATGCCAATATTATTCCAACTCAAAGAAGTAGACAAGGTCATTCAACTCCTAAAAGCTTATTTTCCAAAAGCACAGTTAGGTCTCAGCTTCCCGGATGCTTCTGGCTTTATCAAAAAGACACTGCTTTGCTTTGTCAAAGTGCGAGGGTAATCCGTGTATGACTTAAGGAGCCAATTTCCTACAGGAACATTCTCTTAGATGGGAAAAGATGTTTAAATTGAACAATGTTGGTAAAATATATTTAAGCATAAATCACAAATTCGAACTCTTCCAAATATTTATTTACTAATATGGAAGACAGGGAAACTATTAAAATCTCATTTAAAGGAAGTTACTTTGTTGTGCATTTGCATTTTGGGGGTTATGACTGCTGACCTGCCCTTGAGGGAAACTTGCTTTGGCTCAGGTTAGCAGGCAAGCCGGTTTCTCCAAGGCGATTCCAACCCCACGCCTCTCAAACCTTAAATCTTAAATTGAATTATTGGGTGCAGGTGTCTCCCACAGAACCTCCCAGCTTCCGGAACGGGGGGCGGGGCAGGGAGACCCTGCTTTTTATTTCAGAGCTGACGTGTGCAATCCTACAATCCTAGTGCAGTAGCAAAAAAAAAAAAAAAAAAAAAAAAAAAAAAAAAAAAGCTGAATTATCCGCGCTCTCCTGGCAAATTTCTCTCCGACGCGAAACCCAAGGAGAAGGCGTGTTCAATGGCTACAGAGCGCTCTCTGAAGCCGGCTCCTCGAGCGGATTCCGGCCCAGGCCGCCGCTCAGGTCCCAGCCCGGCTGCACAGCGAACTGGAGAGGATGGCACCGCCTGCTTCCAGGGAGGCGGGAGGAGCGCCAACTCCTAAGGTGGGTCACCTGCCAGGAAGGGAACACGCGTGGTGCAGACGCACGTGGGAGGAGCACAGGTCCCGCGTACAAGTGCGGAGCTGGCGACTTAGGGAAGAAGAGGTAGGCTCGGGCTCAGACCAAGCAGGCATGAGGGAGTAGACGGGACGTCCCAGGTTGGCAGTGACCAGTGACAGCGGAGTCACCCAACCCAGCTGCCTCACCCTCCCGGGGCGCTGGTCCCTCCCCTCGGACTGAAACCCAAGGGGCCGCAGCACCGGGTGGGCGGGACCGACTACTCCCTGACAGGCCCCTGGAGCTGCGTGCCAGGCCGGGCTGCGCCGAGCCACTGAGCGCAGAGAGGAGCCCCCGGCACCCATCGGGCCGGACTCGGGGCCGCACCCGAGTGCGTCGGGCAGCAGTGGGCGCTCGCGATCCTCCTCTGCCCTACGCGCTCTCCCTCCGGGCCCGGCCTCCTCCGTCCCCTCCTTCTGTTCCTGCTCCTCCTCCCGCTCCTCCCCTCCTCGGGATTGAGCACCAAAACGCCCGCCTGCGAGGTCCTCGGCGCGCTGGCAGCTAGGAGCCGCTGCCACCACCGCTGGGTCTCAGTGGGTGCCTGCGCCCTCTCGCCGCCCGCCCGACCCGGGCCGTCCCGAAACTTGCTCCACCCGCCGCGGGTGCTAGGCAGTGCTGCCCATGGCCCAACCCAGGAGCCTATTTAGGGCGCCCGACGGACGGGACGGTGGCGCCGCTCAGGTGAGTGCTGCGCGCGCGGGGTGGGGGCCGCCAGGCTGGAGAGTGGCAGGGCGCAGGTGTGGGGGCCTCCGAGGCGCTTTCGGCTGGCTTTCGGGACTTCGGGCAAGTGCAGAACCCAAGAAGAATCGGGGTTGGAGCAGGTGGAGTGGATGCAGAGGGAACCAGGAAGAAGAGATTGGGAATTTTCCCATCCTCCTCACCTCCTACCCTAGCACCCCTGCTCTGGACAAGTTGATCTGTAAGGACTGGGACCCAGATTTCTGACTCTTACTGGGTTGAATGTTTTTCCCTCCAGCAGAGTCGGGAGGTTAGCTCTTGCTGGCCGTTCAGCGACCGCAGCTTCACCTTAGGACCCTGTGGGGCAGCGAGAGTGCAGCGCTTTACGGAGCCTGGGTGTCACCTGGGGCCAGAAACTGGGGCGGGGACACAGTCTGCAAAAGTAACTCGGCGGAGGGAACCTTTGGGGTGTAGAAGCCTTGGTCGGATTTGCCTTTGCATTTGGTTGGAGACAGGCATCTCCCAAGGAGAGCGATTGAGGCGACAGCCCTGACAATAAGTAAGCTGCTCTTCCCCAATGCCAATTACATGGGGCTCTTGATTTTTTCTTGTTACTTTTCACTGATTTTTTTTATCTCGTTGTCGGTTTCTGTTTCCGGGCTCTTGGGTAGTGGCAGCGGATGGAGGTGAGGGATGGCGGGACGCGAACGAGCGCGGTTGGAGCCCCTTGCCCCCTGCTCCTAAGAAGGGTCTTATTCGGGAGCCTAACCTCGCTAGGTGCGCTCTTCCAGCCAAGCAGCGGACCTCGCGCTGCTCTTCCTTCTGGCCTCAGCCTGTCCCGGAAAGCGGAGAGCAGACCCAGAGCGTAGGCGGATGATGTGATGAAGAAGCTGGAGCCAAGGTGCCGGCACGGGATGGGGTGTGCTGGGCGCTACAGTTATTTGCTGGAGCTATAGGTCCTCCATCTCATCCCCTCCCCTGAGAGCCAGCGATTCTTCACACACTCAGGGAGCTCTCATCCGCCAAGGGTTGCATCCCTCCCTCCACCTCCCTTTTGCAGAGCCAGTAGTACCGGTGCCTCGCCTGGCGAGAGTCTCGCTCCTTCCTTTCCCACAAGGTTATCCAGAGCTATTTTTATCTACAACTTGTGCCAAGATGTTTTTGGGAGGATTCTAGGGAGGCCACTCCAAATCCACTGTTTTGCGCTGCGCTCCCAGAAGCAGTCTCCTGCTAGCATGGAGCAGCCTCAAGGCATGGCGGGGAGAGTGGCCTAGAAGCCAAAGAGCCAGTCCTCCCTCTTCTCCCTCAGCGCTAGCCCGGGTAGCAAACCCCGCCACCACTGGCTCCGATGAGCCTCCCACAACTAGCCCAGGAAGAGGGTCCCCAGATGAGTCCCCACGCTCTGGCTCTCAGGCTCCGGGTGCTCAGCGACTGCTGTGGCAGCAGTCTGGCACCGGCAGGTTCCTTTATTCCCACCTGTAAGTTATTGTTTTGGAGGCAAATCTCATTTAATTTTGTTGAAATCCTTCCACTCAAGGGTTAATTCCAGGAATTCCATCTTAAAAAAAAAAAAAAAAAAAGAAGAAGGGAGAAATAACCTAACTTCTTCCTCCCTGGATTTCTAAAGCAAAGCACATCCTATGGCGTTTGGATTGTTTTCTTGCTTTCTGCATTTCTGGTAATATTGGGTAACATTGGGTGCAATTAGAATAAGCATTACCTACTGAAATTCCAGGAGCCGCGCGCTTGGCTGCAAATCCTTGCCTTACCCTTCCCTTTGTATATCCAGAGCTTAGATTTTCCCCCACAGGACTGCAGAAATAACATTGAAATGGACCACTGTGTTACATAAGGTTTCCTCCAGAGCTAAGCAGAGAAAGAATAATTTCTAAAAGAGTCTTTCCAGGTTTGGGTTAGCCCATCTAACTCTTTCAGCCGAGTTTGACAGGGATGGACAAATTCATGACTAAGCAGTCTTAAGTGGAAGCAGTTAATGACAACAGCAGCATAGATGAAGATTCCTTAGTAAGGCTTAGTCAGCTGTGCTTCTAGATCCCCTGTGAAGCCGCAGGGTATACAGTGCTCTGTAGTTATAAGATGGGAGATTCTTGTTCTGAGAAGCTGGTGAGAAAGTGGTACATTGATACTGCATCTGAGGAGGGGCTCTTTACTCTCCTGTCAGTATGCCTAGGATGAAGCCTCAGGCCCTCCCTGGGTCCCTCCAAAAGTTGGAGCATATACTTTTCTCATTAAAATAAGAAATTATTTTACTGGAAAAGTCCTGGGGGCCCTCTGAAGGGAAAAGCTACATGGAAGTTTTTCTTGCCTTGAATTGAAACTTGATGTTGACTAGGAAGGAGCTTAGAAAGATGTACTGGGTGGTATAAATTGCTTAATCCATGCACACTGCCTTTCCTAGACCATGGCATCTACCCACGATGGCATGTCCCCACCATGGTTGCTAAATCATGTCTGTCTATGGGGACTAAGGTTTGGTGGAAGGCACAGTAAGACGTATTGGACGTCCTGATGAAACTGAGCCTGTGCCCTAGGTGGGTGCTCAGGCACCAGGTTTCCAGGCCTGAATCTATGCCTGAGAGGCTGTGTTAGAGACGGTTGTTGCAGGAGGGTAGTAACTTCTTAACTGCTTCCAGGGAAATGCAGTAACTTTCCGGCTGGTGTTGGAAAAGATCAGAGCTATTCCCCATTTTTTTTGTTCAACCTCGCTACGTGATCTAGTGCTTTCATTGAGGCTGCTCTTTTCTTAAGGCAGAAGGCAAGAGAGTGCAAGATGGATTTAAAGCCAACTTCTTGCCCCATGACCTTGGGCAAACAATTTCTCCTTCCCTGAGCCTATGTTTCTTCCTCTGGAAAATAGCAATGAAAGTGTTATTATGAGAAAGTGAGAAACTATACGAAAAGCATCTTGCTGATTATAAAACACTTGTGCAGTTGTAAAGGGTAAAAAAGTCATAAAAATTAAGTTTTTATCATAGACCTATTTTAATATTCATTTTAATTGTAGTTTGCATATGTCTGAGTAAATTACATTAAATGCTAAACATTAAGTGGGGGAAATTTCATCTAATTGGCTAGTGCCTTCTTATGATCACTTCACCTGAATGCTGCAAGCACTGGGCCTCACTGCTTCTCAGAATGACTTGTTTCTGGTTTTCAGGATCGCAGCCAATTTTTAGGGTTTTTTTTTCTTTTTAACAGATTACACCGTATATGTCTTAAGAAAATCTGGCTGAAGAGAGGGCCCTGATGTTGATTAATAAAAAAACAAAAAACAAAAAACAAAAAAAAACAAAGAAAAGTCATAAATGGGGAGTGACTCCATTGGGGAAAAGTAAAACATGAGCAGTGTCATGAGATGACCTGGGCCTCCCTTGTCCAAATCTTTCATCAGCATAATGCACTGGCTCCCAACTGCATTTTAGGTGTCCCAAACACGTCTCCAGAACCTCACTCATTGTCTGCCTGGCACGTAGACATTCAATAAATATGTTTGGAATAATTGAATGAATGATTGGACTGAATCTTCACAGCAACCCTGGAGAGCAGATGGCATCATTTCTAATTTAAGGATTTGGAATCTGCAGATCGAAAAACTTAATTAATTTTCTAAAGGTACAAAGGATTCCAGACTAGAATTCAGGACTGCGTGTTCTTATTTCACTCTGCATTCGTGCTTGTAGTGCCCGCTCTCTTCAGAATCACTTAAAACCCTTCTGAGCAGTTGGAACCAAATATCCTATTTAGGGAGCAAAACCTTCCCTTCATAGAAGGATTTTTTTTTCGGGGGGGGGGAGATGGGCCTCTTTTTCCTTATCCCTCTCTCCCAGCCCTGAACTAGGGCTTAGTTGAATGATCCCATCTGGGGCCTGGAATCTTGAAAGACTAGCTAAAGGACACAGGGACACTGGAGGGTTTATTTACCACCTTGGGTCATGGATCAAGAGGCATCCACAGCAGCATGCATGTCCCAAGGTGTGGTCCCAGAGGTGCCTCTTCTGCAACACCATCTTGACCTGCCCCTGGTGCCCAGGTTTCTTTCATTCCTTCTCATTTTCCAATCCTGACTTTTCAGCTTCTCAGCAATTCCTAGAGGCAATCCATAGACTTCAAGCGAATTCCCTTTCTCTCTGGCTTAGCCAGAATTGCAACCAGCTGATATACAGCCTCTCCCCATTCATCTTCAGTCCTGTCTCCAGCCTGAAGCATCCTTAGCTTCCTCTACCCATGGGGGATGAAGTCTATAGCTTTTTCAGATTGTTAGAATAATATCTACTGGGCTGTAGTTTGTCAATAGTTATGTGCTACTACAAGAGGTCTAGAAAAATGAATACATTATTCTTCCAAGCAATAGCCTGAACATAACAGAAATAGATCCCAGTGGGCATCTTTCTTTTTCTCTAATACATGCTTTTTGGTAGTTTTCCAGCAGGGGTCGCAAACTCTAATGACTTCAGCAGCCAGGCAAGTAACAGCTTGAGGGGAACAGGATTTGGGGCTTCAGGTGGGACTTCAGGTCTGGTCTTGCCAGATCTGGTTATGTTTTTTTTTTGTTTTTGTTTTTGTATTTTTTCCCAAGGTAGACTGTCAGTTTACAGTTTTATGTGGAATGTACCCACTTTCAAGTGCCAGTAGCTAATTCCATATTCCTAAATTACACCATGTGGGCCAAACCAAAGACTTCCATGTATAAGCCTTATATCTGTCACACAGGCCTCCAATGTATGGCCTCCGGTGACCCGGGACATAAGGGAAATTTGATTGGAATGTGAGATTCAGGAGAGTACTTTACTGAGAATGTCAAGGCGAGAGTGCAGGGGGCACAGAGTGCAGACAGTGCTCTAGTTAGTTACCGTTTACCTTTACAGAGCGAATCTCTGTTCGGGATGCTGCTTCTTCCTATCTCTGTAAACGGTTACAGCAATCACGTTTACTCCTTTAACACATGTTTATTGAGTTCCGGCCATGTACTGCACATTGTTCTG